TATTATCAGAACACGTGAGCATAACGGTTAGCAGATCAATGAATGAGAGGGCAGTGTTACCAGAGTTGCCCATTTACCACACCTTGTTACAGCACAGTAGGGCTATTGCAAACAGAAACAATACGGTACTATATAGATGTTTCCTGTCGGCTCGTTTTTCGAGTGGACTTTGCTGTTCCGATGAGCATGAACGGTATATGAGTGGAGCGACCGAGCGGAGCACACACACATAGAGCGTCACACCACGTAAAAGTGATTCCTGAGGGGTGAACTAATTTTCGGCAGCCGGAATTTTGGTGCAACTCTAATTATTGGTGACGTACAGCAAAAACAAGAACTGTTGTGTCTAAAATGTAAGTCACTTAATATTAACTTCTTGTTTACTGAACTGTTCATCAAATAAATATCACATTTGCAATTGTGCTGATATTTGGAGAAAAGCTTCATTCTTCGTGTAATATTAACTATATCCGATGATATATTTATAAAAGACATAAGTCATACCTTATCTTGAATTTTGGGGGAAATCTAAATGTATTTTAATAGACTAAATCACGCAGTGAAAATGTGAACTCTAAATACGCTTGCGCAGTAGTCTAACTTATCTCATAGTTTATGTGTGCACTCTCTGGGCGTGTTTTTGTTTGTTTTTTTGCGATATACTCAATAATGTCAATTTCGCATATAATATCGTAATTGTTTAAACAACAATTACGATATTATCGTAGACGATATATATATATCGCACACCCCTTCTGGCACAAATCCTAATGTTTCCATATTCGCAATGTATTTGAATGAAACTATTATTTATAATGTAGTGACTTTGTACTTCACACGCGTTCGTATATCGACAGAAATATCATCTTCACATGAGCATGAATGTGCTTGGCATACAAAGTGGACCAGTTATTGTATTTTATTTTGATAATGAACAGACTGCGATGTTTAAGTTTCGAATATGTGGTGTGTGTGTGAGCGCGTGAGCGCGTGAGGCGCCTGCGCGATCGAACAGCTGAAACATTAATTACAAAATTTTTGGTCATACAGATAAGAGTAAGACATAATTCGAAAGCACAAAGTGTTTACTTTTATTTTTGCACACTCAAAATAACAACAGAACATTTGTGATTTTGTAAAATAAAGCAAGGATGCACTTTAATTAAAACTGTTACTTATTTAAGTCAGATATTTTTTGCATATTTATACCTATACTATGATTGAATTTTATTTTTATGAAAGCAAATATTGTTATTTTTATGTATCTTAGATATACATTTTCCTAAAATCATCCTGGCAACCCATTTTTGACCCAGGGTTTGAAGCTGTGCCCTAGTTAGGTTAATGCAGAAACTTGTGAACGATGCTCTCTTATAATTGTGGCATCACTGTTTATTGATGTCATTGAATGTTCCGGGAAAACTTAAGTTGTATTTTCAGGGTCGGTCACAGCGCATTTTAATTGCTGTTTTGGATCCGGCAATTATTAATTTACAAATTAAGCACTGCTCATCCTCATGTTACAAACCTGCATGACTTTCTTCCTTTCTACGGAATACAAAAGAAGATATTTTGAGGAATGTTTCAACTGTTTTTGTCCATACAGTCAAAGCCTGTCTAAATCAACACTGGATTCCATTGACAAAGACAGTTTTCTATGTTTTTTAATACCGTTCACTGTTACTTATTGTCCTTTTTGTTTAGGTTCATTGTATAAGCACAGAGTTCACCATGCGTAAGCATGGAGGAGAGAAGGGAGTGCCGTTCCGTATTCAAATCGACACTTTCAAGGAGAACGAGGCTGGGGAGTACACTGAGCATCTGCACTCTGCCAGCTGCCAATTCAAAGTTTTTAAGGTGGGCTGAGGCCTTCTCTGATAAACATTTTCTGTGACAATGTTTTTCATTAGTGCAGCATAATTTTTGTGCAATCTTGCAACCAAAACAAGATCTTCTTAGGAAATTAGATGATAATACAAGGTTTGTTTAGCCTAAAGGTGCGGACAGAAAGCAGAAAACAGACAGAGAAAAAATGGAGAAGCGAGCACCGCAGGAAAAGGAGAAATACCAGCCTTCATATGAAACCACCATTCTCACTGAGGTGTGTATCAGCTTCCTTGGAAAGCATGGGTTTGACATGAATAGTTAAAATTAATGATTGAATCTCTAATATTAGACATTTTAATATTATTATAACATATTTGTACTTTATGTAAAATAATATTTGTAATATTATTGTTATATTTGTATCTTTTAAATTGATATTTGATATGTGATAATTTTTGGTGTGTGCTGTATTGATTCAGCTCTCTATTGTCTGGAAAGCCTGGATTTGATATGAATATTTACCTGAAATTACTGAATTTGTCTCTAATAATAGTTAGAGATTTTAATTTATTAATTTAGTTTTAGTTTTTTTATTTTAAATGATTCTATTATAATTAATATTTAGAATTTTTTCCACTTGATTTGAATATATGATGATATTTGGTGTTTTGTATTTATCTAGTGCTCTCCATGGCCTGAGATTACATACGTCAACAATTCCCCATCACCAAGTTTCAACAGCTCCCACAACAGCTTTCCTGTGAATGAAGGGTAGGACACATTCGTCAACGTTGTCTGAGCTTTATAATGCTAAAGCTAAATAGAATATCGAATAGGAAAATAGAGCAATTTATTGTATTTTGATAAAAGACTATGCAAACATTGGTCTTCTTTAGAATAACATGTGCTGATTTACTTTCGTTTAATGGCTTATGGTTTTGTCTTGCAGAAATGGTTCACCCAATCACCAGCCGGAGCCTGTGGCACTGTTAGCAGATGTGAGTGTGACTGTGTTTGTCTTCTCTCATATTTGAGATCCACTGCTCTCAGTAACATTCATTAAACGACATTCTAGGATCAGCATCACTCTGTCCATATATAGGATATACATTTGAGATATGAAACTACTTCATACTTACACTGAGACATGGTCTTTGTGAGATTCATTCCAGTGTTCTCTTGTGTGCTTCTTCTCTTACAACATTTACACATTCTGCATTTTCTCATTTGAACAATATATAATGTTTGTACAAGCAAATGTATCTGTGTTCCATTTGCATTTGTGTGGGATTTAGTTTCAAGATCGACCGATATATCGATTTACCGATATTTTTCCGGATATTTAAGCATTTTACAATACTCTGATATCGGTTTTGTAATATCGGATTCACCGATAAATGCCGCCATCTTGTGGATGTTATGAGAATTGCGCGCAGGATCAACATTGCAGTGCGTCTGAGGGGAAACAAGGCAACAACAACGGCGTGCACAGGTACTTGATTTACTGTAGTTAGTAAACTTTATTGAACATAACAGCCATTAATGCACAAATTAGATTTATTACATAAATGTAGCTTGGCTCAAAGAAATAGAGATGAACTCACAGAGTCACGTAAGATAATCCGTCAAGTCCTGTCCCAATAAAGACGTAACTTTGTGTGAATTAAAAATATGTAGCCATGAATGGGCGCATGTTGGAAATAAAAGTGCTGTATTTAATTCGCTCTCTGTTGTCTATATGCTCATCGTCTCATGAAGTCGGAGTCACGTAGGCTAAGATAATCCATCAAGTCCTCTCCCAATAAAGACGTAACTTTGCATTAATTAAATAATACAGCCATGAATGAGTGCATGTTGGAAATAAAAGCGCTAAATTTTATTATCTGTCTGTTTATGCTCATCATTAGTCTCGTGAAGCCGCTTTCATATTGCTGTTCACTCACTGGGTTGTTGCTCAGGAAATTCTGCAGCACGGCCACGGCGTGTAACTTTTAACAAGATTCACTTGTTTAAAACACCCTAATTTGTATTAACATTTACTATATAACCATTATTTCGCTAATAAATATCTAAATAGATACAACTCTATGGAAATTAATTATTTATTATCTCCACGAGCGATCGCAGTTTGAGTATAGTTAGGTGTAAATGCATAGATAAACTGTTCTGTCAGCAGGAGAACGACAAAAACATTATTAGTAATTCTGATATAACATGCCAGTTGAGAAATGCAATAAAATACGATGTTTTGTTTGTTATATTTCAATATTCCAGAGAATATTATTCAGTGAATTAACATTATCCAGTGAATTATTCTTCACTTTGTCCTATTAAACCGCTTATAAACCTACTAAAACTGTAGTTTAAAATGAAGTTATGACTCCGTTCCTTTATTTATTTTCTCTATTTGAGAACATTAGACCTTCTACATTTATTTTGCTTATTGTTAATATTAGTGTTGCTGCTGATGCTTTAAATAAAATGTTTTTTTTATTGTTGTAATATGAAGATTAAATTTAACATGAAAGACTGCTAATTTTCAACACTTTTTTTAAAAGATGACTGAAAGGAGAAAAAACCAAAGTGAAGCATGGACTATTACTTTATAACAGTAAATAAATAACGGTTCTGCATATCGGTTATCGGGGACATAAACACGCAAATAATTGGTATCGGTTATAAAATATAAATATCGGTCGATCACTAATTTAGTTCATAACTTAATATCTACTTAACTAGTTAAGTAGTTGAGCTGTATTGGAAATGGGATGGTTAATAGCTGCTTTTCAGTATAGTTTGTGTGTGTGTGTGTGTGTAAGGCATGCTCCATGCTTCCATGTACATTAATAATGTCAGTAGAACACTACAGTAGTGCATCAATGACCCTTTGTTTCCATTCATATCGTTGCAGCTGCTATTATAAAATAGCTGTAACATGCTTTTTGTTGCTATATAGATATATCAGAATATATATATGATATATATATATATATATATATATATATATCATACTGGCCAAACCTTAAATATTTTGTTAAAAATAACATATACACTACTGTTCAGGGTAACGTTTGGGCTAAGTTAGGTTTTTATTTTTTAAAGAAATCAATACATTTATTCAGCAATGATGCCTTAAATTGATCAAAAGTGACTGTAAAGACATTTGCTATGTTACAAAGGATTTTTATTTGAAACAAATGCTTCATATACTGAAAAAAATGTATAACAGTGACAAAGAAGACTGAAGTAATGGCTGCTGAAAATTCAGCTTTGCCATCACAGGAATAAATGACATTTTAAAATATATTCAAATAGAAAATGTTTTATTTTAAATGGTAATTATTTTTTACAATATTCCTGTTTTTACTGTATTTTTGATCAAATAAATAAAGCCTTGGTGAGCTTAAGAGACTTTTTTCAAAAACTTAAAAATGTCTTGCTGACCCCAAATATTTGAACAGTAGTGTATAGATACAGGGACCAAATTAGATGTAAAAAGCCTTAAATCAAAGTTTACAGGCTAATCTACAATAATCAATTGGTTTGGCACTTTTTCTTTAACACATCGATTTGGATTCCCTCATGCTTTTTTATGATTGTATGTTGATTGACTGATGGATAAAATGACTCCAAACATGACATTATTTTTGCATTAGTTTATAGGCTGATGTTACATGAGGTTTTAGCCCATTGTTGTTGTTTTTTTTTTTTTTTCTCGTTCGTAATATATAAGCACCGCTAGTCACCACATGCTTTCTCATAACAAGATAATAACACTCGAGACAATCTGAGATTTTAAAACTGAGAGACGTTCTGCCTTACAGTTGTCGTCCCACCTACTTAGAAGAGACAGTGAAAGCAATCAGGTACATGCATTTATTTGCTAATTTGAATATGTTGAAATGTTTATTTGCCAAAGGTAATACTTGATTGGTGTGCAAAGGATTTTAAGTTAATCTGTTAATGAAGGTTTGAAATGGGTTCAGTGAGTCCAGACAGTTTAAGGGGGAGTGTCTGACTTCAGTACAGGAACTATACAATGGAAAAACAGACTGATTATGATCAGTTTGTGGTCAGTGTGCTAAGGCCTATTTTGTCCTTTCTCTTTGCCCCCGAACAAACAGAATCTGTTGCCCACGGCAACGCCACAGGAAGCACAGCAGTGGCTCCATAGAAACCGTTTTTCACCATTCGGCCGTCTCTTCTCAAACTTCTCGGGTAAAGGGACGATCGGGCTTACATAAGTGTGCATCACATTCCATACAGCTCTCACATCAGGCTTTTGCTCACTCAGCAACCATACAGTGCCACACCGGTCCTTACATCACTCTCATTCAGATGACACATGCTCTCCAATCTCATTCTCTTATCATAATGTGTTCAGAAAAATGTAATATGCCTCTTTATTCAATATTGCCTTTTAGTGTAGTATGAAAAAAATCCTATTGTGAGTGTGTTAACTGTCCTTTGATGTTACTCAGGGGCCGATCTGCTAAAACTGACCCGAGAGGATGTCATCCAGATCTGTGGACCTGCTGATGGCATTCGGCTATTTAATGCACTCAAAGGACGGTAAGAGTCTGTTACAGCCAGGGATATTTTAGTTAACAAAAATTAAAACCATAATACATTTATGTTACTTTAAATAAAATTGAATTACATTAAATAAAACATTAGCTGAAACAAAATAAAAATATACAGGCATGCATGCTTAAAAAAACAAATCTAAAAAGAAGTCAAAACACACACCAAAATTACTAAAACTTTTAACTAAAATGTATTTCAAAACCAAAAATATAAAAATCAAACTCGGATATAAAGCTCATTCAAAATTAAAAAACAAAACTCTAATAGTGTCTTAATGATACTAGAACAACACTATATTACATATATGTAACACACGCAGTGGTCTCCTCTGCTCACCAAGGCTGCATTTATTAGATCAAAAATGCAGTAAAGACAACAATATTGTAAAATAATTGTCTTCTATTGTACTTTTTAAAATGTCAGTTATTTCTGTGATAGCAAAGCTGAATTTTCAGCAGCCATTGCAGAAAAACAGTTGTGCTGCCTAGTATTTTGTGGAAACGGTGATTCATCACATTTGTGCATTTATAAGCATCCTTCTGTTCAGCTTCCATGTTTTGCTTTTTTCTTGACTGTTGATGTTTACATATTATGAACCAGCATTTATACTGTGTACATTTTTGTATAGGGTGGTCCGTCCAAGGCTCACCATCTATGTGTGCCAGGAGTCCCAACAACAGACTCGTGAACAGCACCAGAAACATGAGAACGGAGACGGGTCTAGCAACACATTCTTCGGTGAATTTAACATCAACTATATCAAGATCAAACTTGATTACAGTTGTGCTTAAAGTATTTGTAGGAATGAAATGTTAGGCTATGATATTATTATGTAATCATTTTTTTCCTTACCTGCATGGCCTGGTTATGTCAGCAAAATACAAAAGCTTTTTAGAGGCAGCAATGCTTTTTTTCTTTAGAATAATGTGTACTTATGACTCGTGCACAATAAGACCTAGGATATGTGGTAAATGGGGTCAAATAATCTGGGAAAATAAACAGAGTATTGATTTCATGTTGTCAGGTGTTTTTTTTTTTTTTAGATTTGTATCCCTTAGAACTTATGTTATTTAGTGTTTCCTTTTTTTTCTGCTATGATTTGTTGGTTAACATCTCATGTTTCTTTACCCTCATCTTAGTGTATCATGCCATCTATCTGGATGAGTTAACAGCTGTGGAACTGACAGAAAAGTTGGCTCAGCTCTTCAGCATCTCTCCACGCCAGATCAGTCAGATCTTCAAGCAGGGACCGACTGGTATCCATGTGTTAGTCAGTGATGAGGTGAGGGCTTCTACAGGCTTTCTTTTTCTTCAGTGTTTAGGCCAGAGCTTCCCAAATGTGGTTCGTGAAACCCTAAGGGATTCATAAGTGAAGTGCAGGAGGTTCTTGAGTTGATAAAAAGCTAATGTTTAAATGGAATGTAAAATTGAAATAAATAAATGAGGCTGTATAATTAATGAAAATAAATAGAAATCGTAATATAGCTTAGTGCAATTATCAAATCGAAGGCTATGATTTAGATAAGCATAGTCTTTTGCACTGTGTGCTTCAGAGTTTTTTTTGTCCATTGTGCTCTCTGTTCACTTTATTTACATATTTGCATAATTCCCAACATTTTTGTAGACAGAAGTTCACAGAATTTCACCAGTATTCCCCAAAATGTAAGCTTGTAGATTTGAAATGTTAAAATCTTCAAGGGTTTGAATGTTTGAAAATGAAGTATTTAAAGGAATAGTTCACTCAGTAATGAAATTCTGTCATCATTTACTCATCCTAAAGTTCCAAACCTTTGAGTTCCTTTTTTCTGTTAAACATAAAAGAAGATATTTTGAAGAATGTGGGTAACCAAACAGTTTATGACTTCCATAGTATAAAATAATACATAAAATAAAGTCAATAGAGACCAACAACTGTTGAAATCCATTCAGGTTTGGAACAGCTTAATGGCGAGTAATTTTTCATTTCATCGATTTTCAACAGAATTTGTATTTTTTGGTGACCTATCCATTTAAGACAAATATTGGTAATTTGTAGTGTAGAACCATTTTATAATAATCAAATTACAGTAATTTACAACAGTATTGTATGAATGTCTTTAATAATTTTATAATAATTGATGTCTTTAAAGTTAAAACTAATAATAATAATAGAAAAGACCCTGAAAGAGGTCTTGGTTGGTTTCAGCAGTAGCAATAGGAGACATTTTCATACGAGATGAAATCATATCACTGTTAATTGCAATTATTTTTGCCACGTTGTGCAGCCGTATATGATTTAAAAAAAAGCGATTAAGATTAAACATTCACTGAAAAAAGATTAAATATTTGAATCCGTTTGCCTGCATGTCATTTGAGAATTAACCAAGAGGGAACCGTGAATGTGTTGTTAAATTATTGAAATATGAACTTAATCTTAGGGGTTACTTAAGTAAATATATTTATGTCTAAGTGGTATGGCTGACAAAAATGTCTGCGCAATTCAATGTTTAGATTTTCGCGCACTAACCTGTGCTCACTATGAAAACATTCCCGTCACTTAACAGGCGTGGCAAGGATCAGTTTACTGTTGAAATTTGCTTTCTTGAACTTTGAAATTCATCCTCTAACACATTCATATGTTAAAGTTGTCCCTTTGGGCTCTGTCCCTAGAAGGCAATAGTTTATTCAAGGACACAACAACAATGAGGCATGATAGTAATCCCAGGATTGTAACCATGCAACGTTAACCCTATTGCTACTTTAATAGAGGGCGAGCTTAAAGCTATTTTTACACTTTGTTTAATTTCTTTGTTCTGAAGATCCATTGTAAGAGATGCAAGCTGCTCGCCTAAGGCCATTTCTGCTTGCAGTGCATTGGTCGTCATCAATCCATCATCGATAGCAGTTAATTTCCACAAATAAGAGCAGATTGCTTTCATACCAATTGTGTATCACACTGGAGTCCACACGGACCCAAGTGTGCAAAACCAAATTCAACGAGGTTTGGGCCAAAAGCTCTAGTGTGGGGATAAAAAGAGACCGCACTTGATTTTTATCCATCAGTAATAGACCTTAGTCAGGCTAGACGGCATATTGAATTTAACGTGGATGAAAACAAGGCTGAGAGATAGACTTGCAGTCTTTACAATGGCAGGCACTGTAATTTTTGCCAACTCACAGTTTTCAAAACCGTTTTATGGAGTTCACTGAAAACATGCCAACAGACAAGACAGAGCTGGTTACTTTTGGTATGAAAAAGTCTTTTGTCATTTTGTAAGAAATTCAAACAATAAATACCATTTTGTGGCTCTTTAATGTGTCATGACAGATCGCTGTAGCACCTCAGTTCAAGAGACACGTGAACCGATCATCTCTTACTCTTCACTAGTTATAGCACGAAATAAACTTGAATGAACATCAGAAGGTATCATGTTTCAACCGCAGAAAGATTCCTGCGAAGGATCAATTTAGCCTGATGTTTGGATAATAGGGTTGTAAAATAAGAAGGCTTGGTGAGTTAAAAATAAAAACCATTTCAGAGGCAGATCATGTTGTTGTAACGTGCACAATAAGACCAAGGAACTTGTGTTAGAAAAGTAAATATCATGAAAACGACAGACTTTTCTCTGGTGATGCATGTCGTACTTCTCTCTCTTTACATGTTCGCACACATTCATTTTTGAGTTCAATGCTCACTTCTTAAAATCCAATTAACAGCCGATGGACAGAAACAAGTCCCCATCCTACATTTGTATTTTTTTTATCTTGATAATCTGATGTCTGTCACGATACAGAAGAAAAGATAAGAGGCTACTTCCGTTTTATTGCGACTTTAAGTAATATCTCTTATTCTCTATTTTTCTGATGTAATCTTTATGTTCTCATTCAAACAGATGATTCAGAACTTTCAAGATGAGATGTGTTTTGTCCTGGACACAATGAAAGGTATAAGCAAGCCAGTTTTTTTTTTTTCCCAAAGTATTGACAAGTTTAAACCCACATGTCCTTGTTTCTAGGTAACCTCTGTTTTATAACTTGCACTCTTTCGATTAAATTTGCAGCTGAAACAAACGATGGCTATCACATCATTTTGAAGTGAAAACAAAGGATGTGGGGGAGTGAACAGGCCCCTTATGTTTTTTCTTAAGATTCAACCCACAGCCCCTTCCCTGCACACTTCCTGGACCTTACCGAAGATCGCTTTGGCTTGGAATTATAATGGAGGCGATCATGGGAAAGGAAAAAAGACACCTGACGTATTTTGAAACCTTTACTGTTTTATCCATGGAGTGTGTGCTGCCACCCCTTCCCATTTACACTTGCAAAACAAATTACAGAATTTCTATTTTACTAACTTTCTTTGCATTAATTTGCTTTGTTGCTATTATCAAAGGCAGAAAATATGTTTATAATGTGCTATGGCTTTACCGGCTTAAACAGAGAATTGGCAGGCATACAGTGCCCCCCCCCCCACCCCCCACCCCCGAGTAGTTTAGCTGCTTATGCTACAGTCCCAAGTGAAGTGCAGTCCACATGGCTCAATGAATACATGCTTTATAAACAACAAAAGTGAAACATGCTTTCTTAACAACAAAAGTGGAAGTTTATGTCGCTGGTAGGCCCAGAGATTTCCAGGACACTTATGAAATTGCCTCAGTTCATGATGAACGTTGTCGTCAGTTCTCTTACCTGTGGGAAAAAGTAGGCAGTCCCATTCTTATATTGTCACCCCAATTTTAGCGAATGATCTTGATATGATCACAGATGTTGTGAGGGACAGAATGAATAAAATTCCCTCTGTACTGCCAAGTTAAGATTTTTTGGCAGGTTCACGGCGAGCGGCTTGACTAAAGCATTGCTGCGTGAATGATGCTTTTCATAAGTTAATTGTTGATTTCTTAAACCTTGTGGACGAGACTGTGACTGTTGGACATTATATTAGGTTCATTAGCTTTGATCCCTGATGATTTTTCAGGTGTTGCTGCAAATGCACGTCATTTTACAGGCAGGAGATGATCGGCAGCAGTGGGCATTATATATGTGCGTCTTTTATTAGATTTTTTTTAACATTGTGCTTAACACCTCTCCCCCCTTAAATTTTTTCATCATTGCATTGTATAGTTTTTACAAATGTCAGACTTTGCCAGAGCACTATTTTATGGTATAAGAGAGATCATGATTTACTTTCTTTTTGTTTCCTTTTGGATATGACCACTGATGTACTAATCTTTCAGGTCGGGTAAAGGGGAGAAACATTGCACTGCATGAGAAATGGTAGCCGTGGTTAGTGCTAGACACAAACCAGACCAAGATGGTAAAGACGTGAGGTATTGTCTGTTGTGACCCTTTACCATGTCATTGCAATTATTAAAATGACCTGCCTTGAAACAAGCTGTTTTTAAAATGTATTTATTTATTTTTTTTATGTGGCATTAACTTTTTTCTCACTCAACCCTATGGGTACAACAATTTTAAGCACTTAATGGGCATTTATAACGTGAAAACGCTTCAAAAGTCCTTGGTTACCTGGGTGAATTTCACAAAAATTTACCTGTTTAACATTTCACCTCAATCAATGGATCTATATTTTGGATAAAGGAAATGAAAAACATTATTTTTTATGACAATTAAAAATAAAATCATAAAATGACTAATATAACTTACAATATTTGTATGTAAATCAGCATGAATGCACTATAACAAAGTTCTGTGATGTACAGATTGAGTTTCAAGACGAAATGTGACCCCAGCATGTTCTTAACAGACTTTGTGAGATTTACCCAACTATATTTTTATACTTGTAATTTATTTTTCATTATCAGTCTCTTGCTAATAGTGTTTGACTGCAGTTTAAAAACGGCCCACTTAGTTTCCATGGAAACCGAGCTGTCAAAAAAAAAAAACGAAGCGAGGACTACAAATGGGCACAGCTAGCCTAGCGTAAATGTCACAAATGGGACGTTTGTTTGCGATACAGTTGCCCTTTATTGCTTTACACGCCTTGTTCCCAAATATAACCACTCAGAGAAACAATATCCGTTTTCCTGTCGAGGAAGACAGCATAGCTTCCCATGCTAACAAAAGGCACTCTAGAACTACATTTCCCGGCAACCCTTACGTCGCCGGCACGTCCATGACGTCACAATAAGTATATATATGTGTCCCGTGCGGCATTCTTTCCTCTATTGTTACATTGTAACAAACCGGGGCAGAAGTGAGGGCCATAGGGTCCTCGGGCCGACAGATACTACACATCATTTTAGTTTTTTTCTTTCCTTCGGGGTGGAAATATAACGTTGCGATTTGTCTAAACATAGCGCAGAACACAACCACCTATCCGGAGGAAAAAAACCCCCCCGAAGGCTCGGCTCTATTTGGTCTTTTTGAATGCAGGCATTTTTAAGGATCACCTAGAGATTTTATCTGCATTTATTGGATGCATCTGCTCCGGGATTAGTAATTTTTATTGAAAATGGTCCTTGTCTGCCCCGTTTTTAATTTTTACAGAGTTGCTTGGCTGCAACGTTGAATGCCCGCATAGCCTTCTTGATACACAAAACCACCATTTATAGTCTATGTCCAGACTAATATCTATTGTTTACGATGCTTAAATGTTCGGACATCACTATATCTTCGTGAAGAAACTGCTATTTCTCTATTGGTCTGGCCATTTCGATGGGCTGAAGTCGCTTTTGTCTGTCATCTAGTAACCTTGTGCAAGTCTAAAACTGAAATAGGCTCAAAATCCCCAAAGAAAAGAACCATCCAAATTAAGGAAGCACTGATCGAGCGACAGCTTCGCCGGGTTAAAGGCTCTCTATTTCTGCCCAAGGTAAGCCTATGAGAAAGGTTTTGTGTTTCACTTCTGCCTGTCTTTCCCATACAGCCCAGCCTACGAGGAAAAATGGGTTGATCATTGGACCGGTTGCAACACAGCATGACATTTTCTGCTCTGTCATAAGACCCTCTGCGTTTTCCAGTAAAGAATATCAAATCACGGGATAGATCATATGTGATGTGTCATCTATTGTGGCAAGCCTTTTCATCATTTAGGCATATTCCTTTAAACTAACTAGTGTCTAATTATGTTTCTCTAGCACTTAGTCTACTAGTTAGTACTTATTTTACTAGTACTGTTTCATTACACACTCTTTCTCTGCTACTAGCTATTGATCTAGTACTGGTAACCATTTTTGTAATAGCATTCTATAGAAATATGTGCTTCACCTCTTAATATTTTACTGGATTTGTTGCTAGTACTTCATTAGGTACTTCTTAGTCACTAATATTTGTACCAGAATCACTAGTACTTAATTGTTAGACATGCTAGTTTGAGGCACTTTTACATATACCATTTGTTACGAGTGACATTTCTTTCACTAGTCACAATGGCTACTTTTAGTGAACTTGTAAGATAAAACTAGTAATAGCTGTAATACATGCTACAATAATAAATCATGCAATGGATACTCTAATAAATAGTATCATTGCATGAAGTCCCTAACTATTTGAATAGTTACTACTATAAATACCAACAAATACCATAATACAATAAAATGATGAATAAATACAAATGACAGTTAAAATTCAATTAAAACACAGAACTCTAGATCTCAATAGAATTAACTGACAAATATTTGCAATTTGTTCCTTTACTATTCTTTCTTAAATACTATTAAAATAAAATTATATACTAGTTAGTTTAAAGGAATAAATTATACCACAGCCTGATGCGGTCATGCTTTACAATAGTGTTCATATTTTATGATGTACCTGTTTTGTAAATGCATATTATTGCTAAAATAATTATTTCTAGTAACATGGACACTATAGTGCAAAGTGTGATGCTAAACCCTCCACTTTTTCTTTTTCTATTGATAAACCTCTTTAAATTCCATCTGCTGGTTGTGCATGGAAATGGTGCATGGATGCGTCCATGGAATGGGAATAATGTTTGCATTTCCAGAAATTGCAATGTCACCTATGCAGATTTTGTCGGTGCTGGAAAAGAAAGACGTGATGTTTATGTGTCATATGTCTAGGACAAGCTATTTCAGTGCAGACTAGTCAAACAAGCTGATGTGTAGTCAGTACTGTAAGGTAATTATTCACGCTTTCTGTCCGCCTCAAATAGACCACAGGATTCTGCCAGGAGATCTGCAAACATATTTCAGCTTCGCAGTTGCATCCCTGCGTTTAAATGACCTGTGCTGCATTCAGAAACTAGTTAGTTTGTCTGCAAACATGTTCTTATCCTACATACACCTCTGCATAATGTTCGTTTCACAGTTATTTGATGTGCATTGGGTTAAATGTTCTGTTTGAGGCCCATATCTAGTCCTGCCATTTTTACGATACAGTGGAGTGCTTTTAAAAGCCTCTTTCCACTTGCCAATGATCATAACTCACAAATCAAGGACTGATTGATTACTTCTTTACATCTAGAAAAGTGTTTTAGATTGATGTTACCTGGATTAACTGCCAGTTAGTTGCATATGTGACTAGTTTTAGTACTTGGATGTATGTAATTGTATTGTGTTACCATATGCATATACGCTTTTAAGACACTCTGTGAGTGCACATGATGGTGTCCAATAGTAGTGACATGCTCTAAGTTTGGCTCCGAGTCGGAGAAGAAATCTTGGCACGCTTCACTGAATGCACAGTAATTGGCGTACTGTATTATTTGCTAGCAGCTTACATGTACATCACCACATCATTTCTGTGTATTTTACTGCATCACCACGGTAGCATTAATTATAGAAGGTACGCATGAAAGCGAGGTACAAAGCAAGCAAAAATGGACTTGTTTCTTAGCATTTCTTGTTTCTATGGATACGCAGCGCCCTGTGTGTCATACACTGATGTGTAAAGCAGCGTATACTCAATCGGGCATCTTGTTCATTTCATCATCCTGATGTTTGTTGCAGCTGCTTTTGATGTTTCAAGGTCGTAACGTGTTCTTTGCCAGCGATAGGTGATTGGCATGTATGTGGCTTGAATTCGAGGCTACCCGGCCTGATTATTGAATGAATGATTAAAAAAATGAATAAATAAGACATTCATATGCCCAAGCTGAGTCAGGCTAATGCTATTTCCATAGCATTCGTAATCTTGAGTTCATAAAACTAATCCAGTTATTATGGATTTCACAAATCTGTGGGACTAAATCCATTATGCTTTGAGTTTAATTGTCAGTCATAATTCCCAAGTCATCTTTTTTCTCCTTCACATGGAAAAAGTCGACCTTTCCTCAAAGCCACCGCCAAACTGTTCTCATTTAACCCGGCAAAAAGCCACTGACTGTTTAAAAATAGTGCTTAATCATGAAGAAAATCAGGCATGGAGCCGCTCAAAGCAGTTGTATTACACAGCTCCCTCGGGCTAAGGAGGTGGTCTGATCAAACATCCCGACTCGGGCTTGTGTGACCTCTCTGGTAAGACTGAACCGGTCTTGTCATTGGCTTGCAAAGGCTTGTTGTTTGTAAGGTTCCAACGGTTTTAATGGGGGTGAAAGAGACCCAAAATGTGGATGCAGTTTTTCCATGGCTATTGCTTTAAACCAGTTACCATGGTGATGTTTGCAGGCTTCATGGTTTTTAAGCAGGACTTTCATGCTGGATGGAGAAAGCGAATGTCAAGGATTAGGTAGCAGAATAGGTGATGTTGCATAAGCTTCCAGATTGTTGAATGTGGCCTTTTTTGATTGTATTTTTATGTTATATGTGACCCTGGACCACAAAACCAGTCACAAGTGTCAATTTTTCAAAATTGAGACTTGTACATCATCTGAAAGCTGAAAAAATAAGCATAGGACAATATTTGACCGAGATGCAACTATTTGAAAATCTGGAATCTGAGGATGAAAAAAAATCTAAATATTGAGAAAATCACCTTTAAAGTTGTCCAATTGAAGTTCTTAGCAATGCATATTACTAATCAAAAATTAAGTTTGAATATATTTACGGTTGGAAATTTACAAAATATCTTCATGGAACATGATTTTTATTTAATATCCTAATGAGTTTTGGCATAAAAGAAAAATCGATAATTTTGACCCATAATATGTATTTTTGGCTATTGCTACAAATATACCCCAGTGACTTGAGACTGGTTTTGTGGTCCAGGGTCACATATTTGGTCACTCTGACCTCCAGAATGAGGTATTTTTATTCAGCACTGCAGGTGTTGATTAATCTCTGTTACTGGCCAAGTTTCACGTTGTTTTTCCTTTCAATAGTGTTAATTCATTATTTAATTTATTTATTTGGTAAAACTTAAAATCATTAACTTAACACTATTTGAACAATTACGATTTGGTTTTAAAAAGGTAATAGTTATTCATGTTATTTATAGTCAAAACTATATATAGAATACTTATAATATTACAATATAAGCAATTAAGATATGCACCAAATTGATTCACAAAAAAAATATTTGAAATCAGAAAACATATATTGTTCATTGACAAAACTGACGGTAGATTTTGGAATAAGCATTAGGTGTTTTTTTTTTTTTTGTGGGGGGGAGAGGGTATCCATCTAGTATTTTTGGTTGGGTATTATATAACTTGTATGAAAGTGCATTCAAAAGCGTTTCTTGAGTAAAAATGCCACTCTTGGACATGCATATCCTACTGGCTATGCACACTCTTAAGTCATGATTGTTCATGTTTTTTAATTTTGCCAGTAATATTCCTTCAGTCTGTCGGACAAAGCTTGTACCTACTTGTAATGCCTCCAGACGCAGTGTTTCCATGGAGACAGTGTCATCTCGTGGCCTGAAGCGCAGATTCGAGGAGGTGGACAGCGGCTCGCCGTGTTCCACACCCAAAGATTCGGATGATGACATCTCTAGCAGTGACAGCGCTGATAGCTGCGACAGTCTCAATGCTCCCTCCAGCTCTCTCACACGTAAGAACACACCACAAGTTAGTCTTATAATTTCATTATTATAACAACTTCCTGGCCATAAGTTATGAAGGAGCTCAAACAATTTCCCTGCGTTTTATTTTGTTCCTAGCCCCTGAGCTAATTCCACATATTACATTTTCACTATTGCAGCAGTTGCAAATCATAACATTTCAGTGTAAAGTGCAACAGCTTCTTACTTAGCTTATTTACTTAGTTTTACACATAGGTACCCTTTCAGAAATATACTATTAAGTCTGTGGACCATGATAACCTCTTGAGCCAGTTCTTCAACCAAGTTGGCAGTTCTCTTTTGTTTGTAAGAGCTACAAGACCCTCATCCATAGATGTTTCTGGACCAACATCCTTGTCGGAATGGAGCAACAATGCTTTTAAACAATCAGATTTAGGTGTAGGTTTAAGGTTAGGGTTAGTCTTATAGCTATAGAGAAATATATACTTAACAATTCATTATTTCCAACAGATGTTAGTAATAGGTTATGAATAGGGGTCGGAGTAAGGTTTAGTTTTCCTTTATAGAAATGTTGTTCAAGGACCAACAAAGAATATTGTTTCAGGGACACGTCTTACTTGGTCATTGTGGCTAATGCAGCAAACCTTGAGATGAAAAACTCTTAAAGGGGTCATATGATGCGATTTCAAGTTTTCCTTTCTCTTTGGAGTGTTACAAGCTCTTGGTGCATATAGAAGATCTGTAAAGTTGCAAAGACTAAAGTCCAAAGAGATATTCTTTATAAAAGTTAAGAGTCAGCCACACCTACCTAAAATGGCTCGTTCTAACACGCCCCCACATACCTACGTCACTATCTGGGAAGATTTGCATAACGCTGCCCAAATGTTCACGCAAAGAAAGAAGGCGTAACTTTTATTCTCGCTGTAGTATTGTTGCCGCTGCCGCCATGTCGTGAAGGCACTGTGTTTCGTTGTGAAAGCGAAACTACTTTGTTTGGCCTTCCAAAAGAGGACGATATCGCTTCGTCATGCCTGGAGCTGATCCGTGCTGGTCGCTGAGGAAATACTTCAACTTCGTGCTGTCGATCGCCGGATCGGCTTTCACCGTGGACGAAGCGGAGTCCAGCCCGGGGTCGTCGCATGTGGTTGCCGCAGGCATCACAATATGGTAAGGGACGTAACATTTCCATCACACGCTTGAGGAATTCAGCCAATCACAACACACTGGATAGCTGGCCAATCAGAGCACACCTCGCTTTTTCAGACCGATGAGCTTTGTAAAAATCATGTCCTTTCAGAAAGGCGGGGCATAGAGGAGAAACAATAATGTACAGTATGTGGAAAATAATGTGTTGTTTGAACTTTAAACTGCATAAACATATTTCATTACACCAAATAATGTTCTTTTTAGCAGCATCATATGACCCCTTTAAACACCATTTTGGGATAAAGTGAGATTTCGTTTGAACCACAATATTGTCATTTAAGGAGGCGTAGGTTGAGTACTAAAGCAATAGACCAAAACATTATTGTTAACAGTATCTCTTTATCTTGTTTCTGTAGCCCACTCCATTCTCAGAAGACACAAAGCATCTTTAGGTCGTAAGCAGGTATGCTTTGACGCAGTGACAGTCTATTACTTCTCCAGAAGACAGGGCTTTACCAGTGTGCCCAGTCAGGGTGGTAGCTCCCTGGGCATGGCACGCCATCACTGTGCTATACGACATTACACCCTTGGCGAGTTTGCACGAGAACAAGAGAGCAGCCACAAGCATGTGCTGCGTCAACACCTACGGCAAGAAAAACTCAATGCTCGCAAGTTAAAGGTTAGTTGTTTGTCATTGTTCTGTTCTAGCTTCTGTTGTTCCTACAGGATTCTGCTTTTGCAGTAGAGTAGCCATTTTGTTTTGATTTTAAGATCTCTTTTACCTGACTTTTCCCAGCTGACACGGAATGGAACTGTGGATTGCCCCGAAGCCGAGTTGCTTACCCTGGATGACATATCTGATGAGGATCTCAACGTTGAGAGTGTAGAGGTGGACGATTGCTTCTTCCTGCAGCCTCTTCCAACCAAGAGGCGTCGGGCACTACTGAGGGCCTCAGGAATTGCCTGTATAGATGCCAGAGAAAAGGCTGAGCTGCGTGCCATACGTTTGTCCCGGGAGGAGTGTGGTTGTGACTGCCGCTTCTACTGTGACCCTCGGCACTGCGGATGCAGCCAAGCTGGAATTAAGTGCCAGGTACGGCACTTGGTAGTCTCAGAAGTTAAACTTTTTTTTTTATCAAGTTGTGTCCAGTTCGCTCAGGGGTGTACCATGCTGCTCCTTGAGGGCCACCATCCTGTAGAGTTTAGCTCGAGCACACCTGCCTGAATGTTTCTAGTGATCCTGAGGAACTTGAGTTGCTGGTTCAGGTGTGTTTAATTGGGACTGGAGCTAAACTATGCTGGAAGGTTGTCCTCCAAAATCAGGATCAGACACCCCTAATTTGGTCTGTTAGCCTATTCAAATAAAAGACATGCTCTTTCTCTTGTACCATGTTCCAAAGGTGGATCGGATGTCCTTCCCATGTGGCTGCACCCGTGACGGTTGTGGTAATACAGCTGGCCGCATTGAGTTCAACCCTCTTCGTGTGCGTACCCACTATCTTCACACTATCATGAAACTTGACCTGGAAAAGAGAAGCCTGTTGGGTGTAAGGTCTGGAGAGGATTGTGGGGAAGAGACGGAGTTAGTCTCCTCGCCATCTCTGTCTCTTTCTCCCTTGGACTCGGATGTGGAGGTAGAAAGCCAATGTGTTCAGGAGCTGCAAGAGGAGCAGTGCGACAGCCTGGAGCGTGAGAATGAAACAGCTGTGCTTCACCTACAGAGTGCGGAGGAATGGGAAAGGAGACTGGAACAAGAAGAGCAGCTGGTTGAGGAGGCGCAGACCACTGACCCAACCCTTTGCCTCCTGCAGGGCACCCTCACCAGCCAGGCTGGGATGGAGGGCATGGAAGGTGTTGAGGGTGTCCTTCTAGAAGGGCCTTTTCCTGAAGGTGCCACTCTGCTGTGTATTACAGAGAACCATGCAGATGAACAGACCGAGCAGAGGCTGCTCAAAGATCCTGCTTCTGTCCTCTATTATCAGGTAGGTCATGTAGAGACAGCAGCCTTTGAGACACTTCCTGCGCAAGTAGAGGAGGTGGTGAGCGAAGGTGGGGATCCAGATATGGAGAGTGATCGGCAAAAACAAGAAACCTGCGGGCAGGATTCGGCCAAGAGCTTGTCTGTCGAAGTACCTCCACCTCTCGAGAATGGGGACGAAGAACAACTTTGTCCTGAACAGGCCTCGAATGAGAGGGAATGCCTCGAGACGTGCCTGTCACTGGATGAAAAGGCAGTACAACTTCCTCCAGAAGTGTAGAGCCCATCACCTCTGCAGATGTTTTGCACAAGTTAGTCATTAAATTCAAAGAGAGCCTACTCCACACAGTGCGATACGTTACATGACTGCATAATGTTATTACATGTTAAAGAAACAAGTTACCTTCATGGGTTTGTATCCAATTTAGCTGGAGATAAGCATGTACTGTGTTTGAAGTAGGTTGTCCATGGTAAAATAAGTTATTAAAAAACAGAAAAATAGAATAATTTATTTAAAAAATGAAAAAATAAACTCAAGAAAAGCAGAGATCCTGATGTGACAACAAGTGTTTGTTTTTCCAATATGGTATCCGTTTATTACTTGATACTAGTGGGGAAAAAAGTGGCCTTTATGTCGAGGAACAAGCATTTTCGGGATTATCCAGCGCCTTTGTATGGCCTTTCCAGTTTGTAGAGTTTCCGATACTGCACCCCAACAACTAATTGGCACTGTCAGGAAGGGTATATGCTAACGCTATGTTCATGTGTTGTTAGAATTACCACAGTTATGAGATGACAACTCTCAGCTGTTCAAACTCCGTTTCTGTGACAATGCTCATAACGCCAAAATGTATTCACGCACAGCTTTGTTGCTTATAACAAAAAAAAAATCACTACATTAACCTTGGAATGGAGCTTTTATAAAATGAATAAGTTCCAGAGTTGGGATTGCAAAAGATTCCAAAGGCCTTGAATAGTTTCCAATTCTCGGAATCCTGTAATTCTTCCAGCGCGTGAATGCAACCTTAGTAATATTCATATGGCTAATGCTAACTCAGTGCTAACGTTAAGAGAAGGGGTTGCTAATTTTAGAAGAGGGTGTTGTTTGTAGCATCCTTCCTGTGAATAGACCCAACAATCCTGGAAATACTTGGTTTTCATGTACTGTACAAGTGTTTTGCTAAGAGCTAGCATGAAGATGAGTGAAAAAGCTGCTTGTTCTCTGTATGCACGTTGAAAACTTGATTCGTTTGAACTTGCTGAGAGGGGATCAGGAGGATAAATGAATGTGCAATTAATTTGCACAGCAGTTCTTTACTGATTTATCATAGTCTTGACCTGACACCATTTGAAGCTGTAGCCTACCGTCCCAGTTCATGGACGTTTATTTGTGTACCACTGCTTTGTATTGTTAGGGCGAGGACAATGTGTGTGAGTTTTGTCATCTACAATCATTTATGATATTTTTTTTTTTTTTTTTTTTGGGGGTTTTTATTTTTTAGGGGGGAAATAGACAAAA